CCTTTGTTTATTATTATTTATAAAGCATTAGGCATGTGCAGGGGGAAAATGTTTGGTTCGGCATCCCGAAATTTGGGACTTTCGCAATTCGGAACTTCGGCACTTCGGAAATTCGGGACTTCGGCACTTCAGGACTTCTCTTGCAGCCGCTTAGTAGATAACTCCCTAATTCCCACGGTATTAGGGAATTATCTACCAAAAGGCTGAAAGACATAAATTGGTCTTTCAGACAAATTTACTAATACTAAGTAAAAATTACTTTTTATTTTCTTTTTACAGTGAGCAGCCACAGGCTGCTCACTGTTTACTAGACATGCCCCTACTCACGGTATAGCGAGTAGGGGCAAAATTTACTAATACTAAGTAACACTTAGCATTAGTACATTTTGCCCCTACTCGCTATAGCACGAGGAGGGGCATGTCTAGTTAACAGTGAGCAGCCTGTGGCCGCTCACTATTAAAAAAAAAAAGAAAAATTAAAAAAATAGGGAGCCCCCTCATGAGCCCCCACCCGCGATGCACGAGTGTGGGTTTTAAACTAAAGGGGGGACCTATTGCCATCCCCGGCCCCCACCCCTGAGCGGCGGGTGGGGGCCCTAAAGTAAAATGATGGGGAGGGGGACCTATTCTCCCGCCCCCCGCCTCCCCCGAGCGGTGGGTGGGGGCCCTAAATACTAATAAGGGGGGGACCTAATGTCCTCCCCCCTGGTCCCCAACCCTGAGCGGTGGGTGGGGGCCCTAAATACTAATAAGGGGGGGACCTAATGTCCTTCCCCCTGGCCCCCACCCCTGAGCGGCGGGTGGGGTCGCTAGAGTAAAATAAGGGGGGGCCTAATGTCCTCCCCCCGGTCCCCAACCCTGAGCGGTGGGTGGGGGCCCTAAATACTAATAAGGGGGGGACCTAATGTCCTTCCCCCTGGCCCCCACCCCTGAGCGGTGGGTGGGGGCCCTAAATTGGAATAAGGGGGGGACCTAATGTCCTTCCCCCTGGCCCCCACCCCTGAGTGGCGGGTGGGGGCCCTAAATACTATAAAGGGGGGGACCTAATGTCATCCCCCCTGGCCCCCACCCCTGAGCGGTGGGTGGGGGCCCTAAATACTAATAAGGGGAGGACCTAAGGTCTTCCCCCCTGGCCCCCACCCTTGAGCGGTGGGTGGGGGCCCTAAATACCAATGGGGGACCTATTTTCCTCCCCCCGGCCCCCACCCCTGAGCGGCGGATGGGGGCCCTAAATTGGAATAAGGGGGGGGACCTAATGTCCTCCCCCCTGGCTCCCACCCCTGAGCGGCGGGTGGGGTCGCTACAGTAAAATAAGGGGGGGGACCTAATGTCCTCCCCCGGTCCCCAACCCTGAGCGGTGGGTGGGGGCCCTAAATACTAATAAGGGGGGTACCTAATGTCCTTCCCCCTGGCCCCCACCCCTGAGTGGCGGGTGGGGGCCCTAAATACTATAAAGGGGGGGGACCTAATTTCCTCCCCCCTGGCCCCCACCCCTGAGCGGTGGGTGGGGGCCCTAAATACTAATAAGGGGGGGGACCTAATGTCCTCCCCCCTGGCTCCCACCCCTGAGCGGCGGGTGGGGTCGCTACAGTAAAATAAGGGGGGGGGGGACCTAATGTCCTCCCCCGGTCCCCAACCCTGAGCGGTGGGTGGGGGCCCTAAATACTAATAAGGGGGGTACCTAATGTCCTCCCCCCTGGCCCCCACCCCTGAGCGGTGGGTGGGGGCCCTAAATACTAATAAGGGGGGGACCTAAGGTCTTCCCCCCCTGGCCCCCACCCTTGAGCGGTGGGTGGGGGCCCTAAATACCAATGGGGGACCTATTTTCCTCCCCCCGGCCCCCACCCCTGAGCGGCGGATGGGGGCCCTAAAAAAAATCCCCAAACCCCTTGTCACCCCCTCCCCCCCAAAAAGATGTGTCCCCCTACCTACCCCCCTCACCCTAAAAATAAGGGGGGGACCTTTAAGTACCTGTAAAAAAAATAAAACTTACCATTTGATGTTTTCTTTCTTCTAAAATCTTATTTTTTCAGCCCCAAAAAAGACCAAATAAAAAACCATAATAACCGACACAATAAAAAAATAAAAAAAAGCGCAAAAAAAAAAAATCCATCTTCACCCGGTGAGGGCTCCGTGCAGACTGAGCTCTGCAGGGCGGGGAAGGCTTATAAAGCCTTGCCCCGCCCCGCCCTTCAATTAGGCTCAGAGCACTCTGATTGGTGGGTTTAAACCATCCAATCAGCGTGCTCTGACAGGTAAATGAAGAGACTGACAGGTAAGTCTCTACATTTACCTGTCACAGCATTCTGATTGGTTGGTTTGAAATCTACCAATCAGAGTGCTCTGTGTCATTTTACACAGCGTGGGAAAGTTCTTTGGAATTTTCCCACGCTGTGTAATTTGACTCATAACTCTCTGATTGGTGGATTAAGTCCCCCCCTTATTAGTACCCGCTCAGGGGTGGGGGCCAGGGGGGAGGACATTAGGTCCCCCCCTTATTCCAATTTAGGGCCCACACCTGCCGCTCAGGGGTGGGGGCCAGGGGGAGGAAATTAGGTCCCCCCCTATTAGTATTTAGGGCCCCCACCCATCACTCAGGGGTGGGGCGGGGGGGGGAGAATAGGTCCCCCTCCCCATCATTTTACTTTAGGGCCCCCACCCGCCGCTCAGGGGAGGGGGCCAGGGGGGAGGACATTAGGTTCCCCCCTTATTCCAATTTAGGGCCCACACCCACCGCTCAGGGGTGGGGGCCAGGGGGAGGAAATTAGGTCCCCCCTTATTAGTATTTAGGGCCCCCACCCACCGCTTAGGGGTGGGGGCCAGGCAGGAGGACATTAGGTCCCCCCCTTATTAGTATTTAGGGCCCCCACCCATCACTCAGGGGTGGGGCCAGGGGGGGAGAATAGGTCCCCCTCCCCATCATTTTACTTTAGGGCCCCACCCGCCGCTCAGGGGTGGGGGCCGGGGGGGGCAATAGGTCCCAATTTAGGTCTTTCAGCCTTTTGGTAGAATACTCCCTAATACCGTGGGAATTAGGGAGTTATCTACTAAGCAGCTGCAAGAGAAGTCCCGAAATGCCAAAGTTGCCGAATTTCCGAAGTGTCAAAGTTCCGAAGCGCTGAAGTTCCGAAGTGTTGAAGTGCCGAATTGCCGAAGTCCCGAATTGCGAAAGTCCCGAATTTTGGAATGCCGAACTGAACCGAAAATTTTCCCCATGCTCATGTCTAGTACTTAGGCAATACTGTGCTTCGGAACTTCGGCACTTCGACACTTCGGAAATTCGGTAATTTCGGAACTTCAGGAATTCGGCACTTCGGCAATTCGGACATTCGGAAGTACCCGAATGTCCGAATTGCCCGAGATTCATCCGAATTCATATTCGGACCAAAACGAATTGCACATGTCTATAAAGCATCAACACATTCTGCATCGTTATACAATAGGTGGACTGATCGACAAGGCAAGTTGGACGCACTGGACCAGAGAGCGTGGAGGACCATGCTCAAACAAGCTTACATTCTAGGGGGAGTGCAGTAAAGTGACACATAAGGTAAGAGCAAGTTGTAGTTTATGTATGGAAAAAGTAGGTTGCGTAAACAACTTATAATTTATCTATTTCATAATACAGTAGCAGGAGAGGAAGCAAGGTGGGTACCAAGGTGTGGGGAGGGAACATTTTTGTGGGAAGTTTTATTTTATGCTTTCCTAAAGAAGTAAGTGTTTGGTGATTTTTGAAGAAATGGAGACTGTGTGAGTATAAAATGAATGGCTTAGTGGGTAATGAAATGTTTGCTCTGACAATCCATATGTACAGGTCCGGCCCGTGTATTGGTCCCTATGGCTCCAGTCGACACTGTGACAAGGGTGGTATTTTGCAATCTCTGTACACTTTGGCTAGCCTGCTGTATGGGAACGGCCACCTATTTACATATATATATATGTTATATAATACAGTTCCGGACCCCTGCTTACTTATCTTATGAATAGAGTTGAGCGGACACCTGGATGTTCGGCGTGTTCGGGCGAACTTTGAAAAAAAGTCCGGGTTCGTGATCGAACTTTTGGACACCAAGGTGCTACTGGTTTTTATTTTAAGGACAGAATATCACAAACATTTCGGGTATTCCCTTTCTTAATGCACCATGTCCCTCCCACTTTACAACACACCCACCCTTATATACATGAATAAAAACAGTGAGCCACCCCCTTCTCTGTGATTAGTGAATGATTGGAGTCCTCCTGGGATTCGGTCGCCATCTTGCTATGTTTCCCAGCATGTCACAGGCATCACATTGCTAAGCAACAATAAACAAAAGTAAGGAAAAGGCTCTACACTGATCTCCTGACTGCCTAGAACAGGCATAGGCAACCTTTGGCACTCCAGATGTTTTGGACTTAACCTCTCATAATGCTTTGCCAGCATTATGGGTGTATAGCATGATGGGGATGTAGTCCACAACATCTGGAGTGCCAAAGGTTGCCTATCCCTGGCCTAGGAGATCAGAAAGCATCAAACTAGGGCAAAGCAATTGAGAACAGATAAAGATTCCTCAATAGAAAAGCTTAAAAAGTCATTAAATTGGTGTAAGCCCTATTATAATGCATTAAGAAAGTAGTTCAAAATATAATAAAGTACATAATATAATATAACTTAAAACGGAAAGGAGGACCACGAGAGTCCTAAACAGGAGAGTAATATGGAGAGGGGAAAAGGGGGAAAGGGGGGTCCCTACCTTTTAATAATTCTAAAGATACACACAACAAGACAGGTGGGAAGAAATATAGTAAAAGAGAGTCCTGCAGGCTAGACACAGGAACCGGTTACTAAAAAACTGCCTGCTGAATGTCTAGGATCCTAAAAGGCACGCCCTCTAAATCTTCCCAGAACAGGGACCCTAATTGAAAGAGGGAAGATTTAGAGGGCGTGCCTTTTAGGACTCTCGTGGTCCTCCTTTCCGTTTTAAGTTTTTTTATTGAGGGTTATTCCCTTTCTTGGGAGAGTAATTTCAGGACTTTATAGCACTCATTCATCGGTCGTAGCCACGACCCCTGAATCAGAGCCACTACTTCTTATTCGTTATATTTAGGTGTTAAGCACCATCTTTAGTTCTGTGTATATCCTCTAGAGAGAGACGTTTGATTAAAATAGATTTAGAGACAGCATTTTTGAGTTAATGGCTGGTTTTCTCACCAACAAAATAGATCCTAAACAATGGTGTTCGGATGCAGACACTATTTTTTCTACTAGCTCCTCATTACAAGCTCTTCCCCCCGTAGACATACAAAGTGGTTTCAATAAATTAACTAAGATTTTTAAACAACAAATAAGGACTAGTTGGGAAATCTCAACCCTTGAGACATATATTGTTAAAAAGATCATCCCTAGGGGACTTAGGGTTTTAGTCCCACCCTCTAGAAATATTGAAATAGAGGGATTCACACAAGAATGGGAAGATGCAGCAGCTAGATGCTCAACCACCTTTATGTCTATCATATGTAAATATGAGTCTGTACATTTAACACATATTCAAAAAACCTTGGATACTGAGATTGAGAACATCCAAAAGTTTAAGGACGACCCCCAGTTCCCAAATTTAGAAGTGAGATTGAAGACCAATTTGGATAGATTTTCTTACCAAATCAAAATTAAAAAACACCATAAATTCGTTAGGGACACTACGGATTTTGAGACTGGAAGAGTCTATCGACAGACTAAAAGGAAGGTCAGGATCGACTCTGATCATTTCAGCACTTCTGAATATGAGTCGACTGACAATGAGGGAGAAAATATAGCCACTACATCCACACAAATTGAACCTAAAAGTATATTGAGGAAGGGTGTAGATTTTTTAGGCTTACGACAGGCGGACGAACTTCAGCGTCCCAGAACAAGACAAACACAGAGAGGCAGGGGTCAGAGAAGACCACGACGCCAATAATTAATGACTTAAGGATAATCAATTTGTCCTCAGTCACAATAACGGACATACAATCCCAAACTCTTTCTAAAGGCTTATCCTTTGTGCCCACACCTCCCTTTAACAAATTTATGTGGACAAAGGATTTGAATCTATTTGCCCGTAAATTGGCTTTACACAAATATCATACACATAAAAAAGAATTACGAGCATCCAGTCTGGGGTTGACAATTAAGGACATGGATTGTCTGGAGACTCTGATTGAACTCCTTGACTCCAACAATTCCAAGGATATTAACATTCCAATTACCCAACTTGCACCTAAGAGCCGCTTCACACCACATTTAAAAGACTATAAGAATATTGAAGTCTTCCTTGATATGGTATGTGGAGAAATTGAAAAAGTAGAACTAGGGACTCTGAACATAGAACCCATTGGGAATCTCACTAGAATAGAAAAATTGGCACTGAAGCAACTGAAGGAGAATGATCAATTGGTTATTAAACCATCAGACAAGGGGGGCAACATAGTCCTTATGGATCACTCTAAATATACACAGATGGTAAAAAACCTGTTAGATGATCGAGAAACCTACCAGGTATTAAATCATGATCCAACTATGCAATATCTTGTTGAGATTAAGGCTATGTTAAGTCAAGCCCTAATGGAAAATCTTATTACCAAAAACGAATTTGAGTTTATGCTGGTAAAACAACCAATACTCTCAACCTTCTATAGTTTACCTAAAGTTCACAAATCTTTAGAAAGCCCGTCAGGTAGACCAATTGTTTCAGGTTGTGGGAACCTAACCCAAAATCTGAGCATCTTTTTGGATAAGATTTTGTCCCCTATTGTTGCAAAATTACCCTCTTACATAAGGGACACGAAACAGATGCTTAATTTCTTGAAGGATATCTCCATACCGGAACAAGCACTTCTATGCAGTCTGGATGTGGAGTCGTTGTATAGTTCTATACCACATATTCAAGGAATTGATAATATCAGAACTATCCTTGAACATGAATTGCACACTCCAGTCGCATACACAGATTTGGTTTCCAACATACTTAAAATGGTCCTTACAAGAAATATCTTTATCTTTAATGGTACCATCTATCAGCAAATTAGGGGGACAGCTATGGGGACTTCCTGTGCCCCCTCATATGCTAATCTCTATTTGGGGACCTGGGAAAATCGCATTAGATCAGCCCCACATTTGAGCTACTTCATGGAAATGATATTCTGTTGGAAACGCTATATAGATGACGTCCTGGTCATATGGACAGGGAGCAAAAAAGATTTTGAGACCTTTGTAAGCCTCCTTAATGTGAATGATCTGAATCTAAGATTCACTAGCGAGATAGGCGGCAAACAACTTAATTTTTTGGATATTACTATAACCATTTCCGGAGGAAGGGCCTCAACCACCCTTTATAAAAAACATACTGCCACCAATAGCCTGCTAAATTGGCACAGTCATCACCCCCAACCCCTAAAGGCAGGTATACCAATTGGGCAATACCTAAGATTGCGGCGTAACTGTTCTTCTATAGATGACTTCAAAGCCAAGGCATGGGATCTCAGGCGAGCCTTTAAGGATAAGGGCTATCCCAATAGAGTGTTACGCAGAGCGTACACTAGAGCAATCAGCACCGAACGTGAGTCACTCTTAACAGATGTTAAGGTGCAAGCACAAGATCAAAAACTAATCCGTTGTATTGCCACGTATGATGCAGGTTGGGACTTTATGATGGGTACACTGAAGCGATTTTGGCCAATCCTAACATCTGATCCACAAATCAAACAGGTAGTCACCATGTTTCCCTCTGTGACAGCACGGAGGGGCAAAAACCTACGGGATACACTGGTGCAGAGCCATCTATCCCCCCCTAAAAGAGGGTCTCAAAACTATTTGCCCAAGGGGACGTATAGGTGCGGACACTGCAGCGCATGTGAATTCATTGATCAAAAATCTAAGGAATTTACGGACAGTAGTAATAAAGAAACCTTTTCAGTCCACTCATTTATCAATTGTAGGACGGAAGGTGTCATTTATTTACTTACCTGCTCATGTGGCGTCAAATATGTGGGGAAAACGTTTAGACCTTTCAAACTAAGGATTAGGGAACATGTAAATTCAGTTAGAAGACCCTTAGAAACCCCAATCTCACGTCATTTGAGAATTCACCATTTGAATTCTGCCAACAAACTTAAGTTCATGGGAATAGAACATATCCCACAAACCCAACGTAAGGGCGATTGGGATAAGAAACTGAGACAACGTGAATCCTATTGGATCTACAGGCTCAAGACCCTTTCCCCTGCTGGCCTAAATGAGGGTTTTTCCTTTACCGCTTTTCTCTAATTTGCCACATCTCTCGACATATTTTTCGCTGTCTCTGTTTTCTCTAATTTTTTTTTCTCTATTTTTCTCTCTCTATACTGGATATAAACAATTTATAGGGAAATTCTCATTAGTCCCCCGATGGATTAATGTACACACTATTATGATCTTTTTATTTTGCAAAACTTCTTCTGTTCCCAAATGCTTATCACCTGGACTTTATGTCATCAACTTTTTTGGATTGCGAGCCTTTACTGTAATGTCTTAATCAGCCTTCCGCTATTATATCAATATATTAATATACATGTATCATAGGTTTTTTAATTATGTCCACAATTTGGACATATATACTCAGGGTATATGGTTAATATTTACTAATTAATTTTTATTGTGTATCATGTGGCAACATTTGAGCATCTTTAATTTATACTACTTAGTATTAGTTATTATCAGGATATTCATTTATTCAATTTAATTTACTATGTTAAGATCGTACAGTATCAGTCTTCACCAGGGTATTTAATTAATTATGTTAAGATCATATTGTCACCTAGCGGTCCATAATGGGTCTCTGTCTATGGGAATTTCGTGTATATTTTCATGTTGACCCCATAGGGGCACTGTTCACAGTTATTTCCTGTACTTTATCCACCTACCTATGCCAGGACTGTATCTGGCGGATGGATAGACTTTTAAAGACAATGGACCAATGGACAGCCATAGCCTATAATCATCCACTGGTGATTTCTACTATTAATAACTAGCGATCATAACGGGACTTTTATTCATTATATTGCTACCAATTTAATAATCCTTACGGAATAACTCATCCGACTTGGGTCTTATGGGGGCATTATTTAAACATTATGTCCCTCGATTCAGTTCAGTATCACGTCTTACGACGTGACTGACAAGTGACAGATCCAATCGACAGATGAATAGGAGGGATACACATTGGACCAATTGCTAACCGATATGTGCGCATGCGCATTGGGCGCTTGTAAACTACATATCGTTATCACTATGTAAACCCTCCTTTAGTTCTGTATCCTATTAAAGTCTCCAAACTATATTGTAACGAATATAAAAATCCTGTGGATGAACTCATGTGGACATCGTCTAAACCTCATTATTACGCCCCTTCATTCACTTTAAGACCACGTCATATGACGCGGCGGACAAGAGGCGGGCCTAAGAGGTAGCTGACCAATAAGCTAACAGTATTGTCGGCAACACACGTGGTACACAACAGCTGCTTTCCATCTCATAGATTGTAACAAGGTGTATTTAAATCGCTACAGGGAACTCCAAAAGTTTATTGCTCCTGACGACGGCGTGTTGAAACGCTGAAACGCGCGTCGAGCTTCTTTTTATTTTATTTTCTTTGTTTTGCACTTTTTTGGTAGCACTGATGGATTGATTTAATTTAATTTATTTTATCAGTTACTATTTACTTTTGACAGGCAGGGACTAAGTTTCTTTGGTAGGCACTGGTGATTTTTCACAGTGCCGAGGTAACTAGGGCAAGTGGACCTTTATAGGAGTTTTTTGCACAATATTTACTCCTTGGGATACCTCCCTTTACATTTGCTCCCTTTCCCTATTTCTTTAGTTACCCCCTTTTTCAATTAGGGTCCCTGTTCTGGGAAGATTTAGAGGGCGTGCCTTTTAGGATCCTAGACATTCAGCAGGCAGTTTTTTAGTAACCGGTTCCTGTGTCTAGCCTGCAGGACTCTCTTTTACTATATTTCTTCCCACCTGTCTTGTTGTGTGTATCTTTAGAATTATTAAAAGGTAGGGACCCCCCTTTCCCCCTTTTCCCCTCTCCATATTACTCTCCTGTTTAGGACTCTCGTGGTCCTCCTTTCCGTTTTAAGTTTTTTTATTGAGGGTTATTCCCTTTCTTGGGAGAGTAATTTCAGGACTTTATAGCACTCATTCATCGGTCGTAGCCACGACCCCTGAATCAGAGCCACTACTTCTTATTCATAATATAATATAATAAAGTAAAATACTGGGAAATAAAAAGAATCCGAACTAGGCATCAGAAGGAATCCAAATACACAGTGCAAAAAAATAGTAATAACAATATACAGAAAATAAATGCAAAAAGTATATACAAAGAGTATATACTTCATGTAGCATGACTGAGTGGGCAGCTCCGTGGTAGAGGATCTTTATTCTCTACTTGGTCTGTCAAGAATTGCTTGGTGACAGGGTTGACTTAACTCATGAGCATGCTGATCAGTTACCCAGGAGCCGCACAAGCATAGGGACCTCATAGTCTTGCTAACTTTCAATATATTATTCCATGAGATTTATTCCAAACCTTCAAACCTTCTTTATTAAAATGTTTAGGTGGACTAATAACCTCAGTATCAGCTGTTAACTGTACATGCAATATTGCTATGCAAATACATATCTTGACCTTGATGAAAACAACATCCGCGTACTAAATGTACCTAAGCAAGACAAAATCAACACACATAATTTTTTGAAGCTGCAAAGCTTTAGTAAAGTTCTTCTAATATTTTTAAAAGTCAGTATCAGTTGCCTCCTCTTGCTACCTACTAAACATTTGGATGGATTAACCTCTGCTGTACAGCATGTTTTCTGATGTTTAAGCACTGATTTTATTGAGGGTACCAATGAATATTAGTTTAATTCTATCCGTAATATGCATTTGCATTTTCATTTCCGTGAGTGGTTGTGTAGGCAGGGCCCCAGTGCACTGTTTTGCTTGGGAGCTTATAATCCTGTTAAGATGTTCCTGCTAAGTGAGAGCACCGAACATGTTCCTGTCTGTCCAGGTAGAGGGGACAGAAGCTCCTCTACCTCTCAGCCATGCTACATAAAGGGAGGTAAGCAGGCACGCAAGGGGAAAGACAGAGAGGTCTCACAAAAGGACTAGGGGAAGGGGGAATTGACACAGAGAGGGTCTGAGAAGAGGACAAATATAACACACAGAGCGGCCGGAGAAGACGACAATGACACACACAGAGGAGCTGGGGACAGGGACAATGACACAAACAGATGGTCTGGGAAGGAAACACACAGAGGGTTGGAGAAAACATCAATGACACAGAAAGCTGGGGACAGGGACAATGACACACAAAGGGGGTGGGGAGAAAGAGACACACAAATGAGCTGTGGGATGTAAGAGACACAGAAGGAGCTGGAGGGAATTAAGATAAACACAAATGGGCTGGGGGAAAGTAAGAGACACACAAGGAGTGTGCAAGACACAAAGGGGAAAATAGGAGATAAGATACACTAAATGGGAAGTAAGACACAAAAGGGGGGTAGGATACAATAAATTAATAAGACGTCCAAAAGATGGGGTAAAAAACACAAAAGGGTAAGAGATTCAAAAGGAAGATTAAGAAAAACACACAGGTTATCCCT